TAGGCATAGGATGGTAGAAAGAAATCTTATGATTAACAAACAGAAATCTTATAGAATTAATAGAAATTGTAGAATAACAAAAAGAAAATTGTTTTTAGTTTTTTTATAATGAAAAATATTAGAGGAAACATAATGAAACATGCACTGGTCCTTTTTCTGCGAAAGTAATTTTGTAGGTTAGTGTGTGTGTGTGTGTGTGTGTGTGGAGGACCTTTGAAGTTTAGAGAGAGGGTAAATGAGCTTCTAACGAAAAAGGTTTTTGAAAAACGTTTGCTTGGAGATAGTCTGATATTTCACCGCAGTTTCCATATTTTATTCTACTTGAAACTTACGAAATGAATATCTAACGATATTGGCTCAACTCCGAGTAATCCGCAAACTACTCATATCCGGCCCATACGAACGTATCCCCCCACCCTTCCTCCATCTCAGTATCTCATCACGAGTCATTACATTCTTTTAAATACTGATATTCCATTTTGTTGGTCTTTATTTATCGGGAAAAAAAGAATTCTACTTTTTTAATGTTAATTTTTTCTCCTCGATTTCTTTTATCTACAAAAATATTTATTTGCCTATGGGCAAATTTTTGTTGTTTCAATCAAAAATTTGTTTTAAGAAAATTTTTCTCTGAGTTATAGTTTTGACAACAAAAACATTTTGGTTAATATACTTGAATACAAAAATTGGTATACCAAAAAATACTTTTTGGATCTTTTTGGTACCGTTAATGTTTTGTACTGTTTGGTACTTTTTGGTACCCTTTCTGTTGGGTACTTTTTGGCACCAGGTTTTGTTGGAACCGTTATTGTTTCGTACTGTTTGGTACCAGTTTGGTACCAGTTTGGTACCAGTTTCCGTTTGGTACCCCTTTTTTGTTTGATAATTAATTTTGGGTACCCTTTTTGTTTGGTACGACTTTTGGTATACCAGTTTTTGTTCGGTATCATCAATTTTGGTAGAATAGAAAATTTATTTTTTCCACGCGGGGTATGCATCATATACTTGTGTTATTTCTATTCTTTAATTCGGTCAATAGATTAAAACAATCTCTGTTATATTGTCACGATTTACAAATCGGTATTTATTGCTGTTTAATTAATCTACAGTCCGAGGCCTAATCGTCTTTTATGACACGCGGCGCCCAGAAGAGCGTGCGAGAGGTGTTCTATATATATATATATAGACGTACGGTTCATATAATCATTATTATTTTTTTTTTGGTTCATATAATCATTATTTTTTTTTTGGTTCATATTCTGTTTGTTTGAAATTTATTGTCGCGCCATTGCGCACTCAATATTGCTTCTTATCGTTTAATTATCTGCAAATCTTCCTATCAGGACAAATATATGGTAATATTGTATAACTGTAATTTTACCAATATGGCGATTAGAGAAAACATTCTTTTTTTTTTGTGTAACAATAATTCGTTATCTAATCTTTCGATTGTTTTTTTCTATCGTAATAAATTTGTCGAATATCCTCGAATTTATTTTTGAAATGCGCTCGTTGAAAAGTTTTCATGTCTGGAGAAAGAAAAAAAATTTCTAATTTTGGGGTAAATTTGAAATGTAAATCAAATTTAGGAATTCCAGTCGGCTTAGTTGTTTATATAAAGTTGACGACGTGGAACCTGCAAAATTTTCTAATTTTGTAACGGCGAGTATCGCACGGCCCATTAGAGAAACGAAATTACCTTAGCGACTATTTCTCTCGTTCATCTTTCTTCTCTCTTTCTCTTTCTTGTCCTCTTCTTTAGAGAGGATCGACCTGCAAATTAGCCGTTGCCTTTTCAAAAGCGGAATCTCTTTTTCGTGGTATCATGCGGATGGATTGGGGTTGAGAGAGAGAGGGAAAGGGGACAAGAGGTTTGACAGAGGTTTTGCTAAAGTTTTCAGCGTGGAGAGATGAAAGAGAGATCGGGGTACTTGGTGCCAACGCAAATACGCATGGCGAGTGTTTCAAAACACGTTGGCTAATGTACCAACCACGGGGGATCAAGAAATAACCGCGTGACTCTTCCTTCCCTCTATTCTCCAAGTCTCATAAGTAAGATTTTTGAGTCGAATTTCTTTTTTTTTTCTCGTCGATGACGAATATTTTTGTAATTGTAAAAACTTTTTCTTTTCGCAAATAATCGAGTTTTTGCCACAAAGAAACGATTATTTAAACTCGATTATTTAAAATTAGGTTCCTGCACTCTTTTGTCCCCTATATTTATCCTGTACTTTTGATAAGATTTTTGTCTTAATTTGATATTATTAGTGTGGCTGAATAAATTAAAGTAGCAAAATTTGTCATAAAAGTGTAGCAAAAAAATTAGTGTAGGAAAATAAATCAGGAAAGTGTATGGGGGGAATAATTTAGGAGAGTCTAGGAAAATAATAGAAGATTCGGACAATTTGTTGACCGGAAGCGGAAGGAATGTTGACATTATCGAGACATTATCAATTGCTTACTTTGAAATATTTTTTTATCCATAATGTAGAGCGGTTGCCAGCCCACTTCCCATCCGGAAAGGTTATACTGGGTCATTTACTATCATCATTCATCCTTTGTATTTACAATTTTTCCGAATTTCGTTATATTTGATTTTTTCACATTTTCGACTTTAGCAGTTTTTTTTAAAAGTATCGAATTTATACCAAACATTTAGATCAATTTTTTATTTGATTTATTTTTGGTAGATATTTGTTGCAATTTCATACTTTCTTAACAGAATTTCGATCTTTTTTATTTTTACTTTTGGGTTATTTTACTCGGTATTTTGATTCTTTCCGTTACATCGATTTTTTTGTCATTTTGGTTATAACTTTGATTCTGAAAAAAAAATTTGAATTGTTTGTAAAAAAGGAATCTTTGTGAAAAGAATATAGTTCCATTTGGTGCGGGGGAAGTGTATCAGAAGGATGCCTCTCAACAAATTTCCCATTGGAAAATCATTATATCTTATACAAATAACCATTAACTTTGAGCGTGGAGGCATCGAGAACAATAAGAAATAACGACAGGCTGTGCGAAAATTCACTTAAGCGCACTGAATTTCCAATAAAGACATTATCCATGAAGTAAATTCTTATCCGTTGAAGCGTCCTGTTTCTTCGACATCTATATAGAGAGAGTTTTCGATGGTTGGGGTAAAAGAAGAACAAGAAGAAGAAGTAGAAGGGGTGCATTTCGAAAGTGGTTTGGGGAAGGTTCGACGATTATCGGCTTCGTGGATTACAACAGGCTGATGCTTTGAGCAAACGATTTTCTTTAGGGGGTGTAGGTTGAGGCGACAAGGAAAGGGGATAAAGAGAAGAGTGAAAGAGAAATAGAGCTATTATTGGCTCTAAGGAGAATACTTATTGAACTCTTAGCGCCGTTTTTATCACTCCTTTTCCCGCGATTCAAGTGTTTTCGGGCTTTGTTTAAGGAGTCAAAGTGGCCCTTCTACTTTTCAAATCCCTCACCTCGTGGTTCACCCTCTCTTTCTCTCTCCCCCCACCCCCTTTTGAAACTTTCTGAAAATTCTTTTTTCTCTATTACCACCTTTAGTCAAATGTTTGTCAAAATCATTTTCTTTTGCTCTCCTTTGAATTATTGAAAAGCGCCGCTAAAACTGAATTTTGATTTTTTACATTTGAACTCTGATATCATTACTGGATATTATTATTATTATTATTAACATTATTTATTTTAATCATTATTATTAAATATTATTATTGTATATTACTATTATTACTTGATTATCTGTATGGATTTTTCGCGTTTGAGGTTATTTTAGTCACCCTTGCCTTGTGTCGATTATTATAGGAGACAGAATCGTTATAAAGTGTGCGGTTGTCGTTTTCGTTTGTTTTGCGCTCGGTATGTCGCGTTTATTTTTGCCCAGGCAAATTGGCTGGCGTATACACTGTGTCAGTTATTTACTCTTTCTCTCTCTCTCTCTGTCTTTCTCCCCCCTCTTTTTCTCTCTCTCTCTCTCTCTCTCTTTCTTCATCCCTATTCCAATAAATATACGATAATGTTATCGCTGTTAAAACCCGCGCAATATAACGAGTGTTCGAATCGTTGATGGGAAATTATAAGAGGCAAGAGAAGACGTCGCATACCGTCGTCTTAACGGGCCGTTCGGTCTGAAAGTTTCAAATGCCTGGCTAAATATACTTCCATTGCGACTTCGACTTTACTTAAAGATTAATGTCTCTCTGCGCTCTTTGGTGAGAAAAAAAGAAAAAAAAATCTCAAAAAAAAGCATTCCTAAACGATTTACCATTAATTATTTATTTATAAAGAAAAATATTTCATTCTTTTGGAAAAATAATTATTGTATGTAGAAAAAAAATTGCGCGTAAAGTTGTTTTATTGAAAAGTGTTGATAAAATAGGAGGAAAGAGACATATTTTCGAAGGAAGAGATAAATATTTTCATACGCGTTGGGTTTTTATTTTCAAATTCTATATATGATGGATCTTTTTTTTTCTATTTTCAAGATCAAAGAAAAACGGTGTATAATTCACGGCAAATGTGACTTTCTCCCTCATCTATCGGAAATAAATTCATAGGAATAAAGATTCAGTTTAGTCGACGCGCCGCGCTTTTGCCTGCGTGAGGGAAGAGGCGATTATCACCATTAAAAAAAAAGAAGGCTCTCTCTGAATACCTTTCAATTCAACCGCATCGATATGATGCTGCTACATTCCCAGGGAAAAATTGAAACTAAAATCGACACGGTATGCGTTTTTCATCGGCAAATACTCATTGAATCTTTTCGTGTAAAGCCCCTCTCGGTGTTTTTTTTTCTCTTTTTCGATTCAAAAAGTATGAGTGCAAACTTCTCTTATGATAGAAAAGGCGAGCTGGTGTTTTTTACGCCCTAACCCCGCGAGAGTACCCTTAAGTGTAAATAGCGAGTCATTTACATGAAAAAAGAGGTTTTTAACACTGTCTGAATTTTTTATATGGGAATCAATATTTACAAGTCTGTATTTGCATTTTTTTTTGCTACTGACCTCTTTGTCCTTGGTTTGTAGTTCTTGTTCAAGGTTACTGTTTGGCGTCCTCCTTGGATTCGAATCATGACTCTGCTCTGTTCCTTGAGGATTCTGGGACACATTTTGTCCCTCAGTCTTTGAATTGCCATCGTTTACCGCGGCAAGCTGCTCCTTTAATGCAGTGACCTCCTTTTCAGCCAAACTTGCTTTCTGTAAATGCCAAAAATTGCGCAGGTGTTAGAATTTTCAAACATTGAAAAATAGAATACGAAATTGAATTTTTTTTGGAAAGTATGAGGTCAGTGTCCCAGAAAAAGAATGAATTTTAGGTTATACGACTAAAAGATTGAAATCAGTGCTTGAAAAGTTTTATTGAAAACGAACTAACAGAGTATTTAAGTCTGTAAGTTTACGGCCCATTCGGCGCCGATATTCTTATAAAATCCAATGACGAACGGAAATAGCATTTGAGCCCTATGTATACGGCGTTACCACCTATCCAAAGTTCTTGTGGTGGTTAACGATCCTCAACCGGTCGGTTGACCACTTTTAAACAACACATATACATATGAAGACACACAACTCTATTAACAACTCTGTAAATTTTCCCGATCGTTAAAGCAAGTGCGGTGAAAATCAATCAATTTCGTTTCGCGCGAGTCTTAATTTCATAAATGAGAAACATAAATGAGAAAATGAAAGACTAAAAATAATTTTGACAGATTTGAAATTAAGAAAGGGGGCGAAAAAATTTTTGTACTGGGAAAGTTATATTCTATTGTGATTCTTTTCTTTTACAATTTAGCTTTGTGAAGGAAGCATATAGAGAGAAAAAAAGAGAGAAAGAGGGGGGAAGGGCGATAGGCCAGTACCGAAGGTTGGGATTACCTTTTTAAACTTTCCCCATAAAGTATCTAATAAATATTGCTCGCGGGCTCGTTGTTCTGCTCGGTCGGATATTAATTATAGATGCTTTTATATTCAAAGTAGCTTTCTATCTCCCTGTTCCTACCCCTATTCTTTCTTTTCGTCTTTCATTACCGACAACTGTAAGTTCGATTCAACTTTTGAGTCCTGTTTATGAATTTTGCAAATTCGTAATTTTAGGAACTATTTCGAAGGGTTGATAGGACCTACAAGAAAAGCTTCGCGTCTTTCTTTTCTCCAAAGTGGATAATTTCTATGCAGTTTTTATTGGTTTGAAATTGTTTTCATTTTTCAAGGTATAAGAGTTTGGCGAAGTATGCAGAACAGCAATTTCGGAAAATTAATTAACAATTGATTCGAGTCTTGAAGAGATTTTTTTCTTTGGTGTTAAGTGTAAAACAAGTCATTAGGTAGAGTTTTGTTAAAAGTTTTGAGCTAGAAAAAAAGAAGTGCTATTATTTTTGCGTCAATGCGATGATTTGTGGAAGATAGAAATCGAACGGATTGTGAGGAGGAAAAGGGAAGACAGATCATAGAAGGGAGAGAGAGAGGATAACCGACGGCTAGTAATGACCCATTGTTTCCTGCAAAAAACCTTGACGATGTTATCGATAATTACGAAATGATATGGGAAGCATAAATACATATCCGCGCGGCCGTTAATTCGCGGCTGCTCTAATGACGGAGACGGATACGTATCGATAGTCAACAATTCACATCCGGTTTATTTGTCACGTGGAAAATCACAAACACAAAAAAATGGAATTCCAATTATTACAAACATAATATGTACCTATAATTTTGACTTTCAATTTTTCAAATTGATATATATTTTTCAGCAAGGTCGAAACAATAATTGAATATTTAAGAATTGATTTGGTAAATTACAATTGATAGTTGAACATTTGCCTTTATTGATGAGATCAACAGCGGCACGAAGTTTGAGTCTGCCGGACGATATTTTACTGCCGAATTCGTAATTACTTTAATTGGCTCCAGATGCTAATTAATGACCTAAACATATGCCGCGCTATATAGATCAAACCCGATAGGAACTTATGGCGTCACGGGGACAGAAAGGGATTGGGGTGAGAACGCATGTGTTTGTCATTACAGAACCGCGCGACGATGCTATCGAAGTTAAAGAAACTGTACATAGAATATAGAAAGAGAGGGACGGACGGGTCAATTCTGTGATCGATTAATTATATAACCTTTATATTTTCATGACGAGAAAATACCGAGTCACTCGGTACATTACGTTTTGTGTCATTAACTAAATTACCATTCTCTTTAATACACTCAAATCTCTTGTGAAAACCGTGAAATTACTCCTGTATTGTTTTTTGAAAGAAAACATTTTTATGGTGTTTTTTTGTGTTTTATTTTGTTTTTTATTTTGTGGAAAAAACAGGAGTGATTCTTTTTTGGATCAAGTGATATGCCCGAGGCAAATTTGCTGCTGGGTAACGAGAGTGAGAGAGTGAGTTTGGTTTCGTGACGCGAGTCATTAGGGACGCAACTTTTACACAAGTAACGACCAGAGCGAAGGTCGAACAGAGAATGAAAGGCACCTATCATTAGGATGGCTACTGGCAATAGCCTGATCCACGATCATCGAAGATCGATTATCATTTTTCTTCTTCTTTTTTTTTTTGATTATGAGAAAAAAGGCCGCAGGCAGTGTCTATATAGGAATATACCCACAATAAGTAATAAGATTCGAGACCATGATCGACGATTTGGTCTCCATTTCGTCTCGCTTCTTGATCCTGTATTTTCAAATTGATGGTTAGTTAGTATTTGCCGCCAAGGTTCCACTGTGACCCGGATCGATCGGTATTTATCGATTCGATCCGGAGATCAAGATTTTTTTTTTTGGTTGGTAGTATAGATTAAGTGAATAATTACTATCATTTGGGGAAAGGATTTTATTTTTGAAAATTGGAACTGGAAAATGAAAGTCAAGGTTGAGAAGAATTTTTTTTTGGGAATTAGAGTAAAAAAGCACAAACGGATTTTATGGGGTTTTTCTTTCTTCTTTTGTTCTTTGCTTGAGTTGAAAGTCCACACGTGTGATGGCTCATGTACGGACATAAATGCCAGTATTAAGCACCGTTCACACGTGTGAGTAAACGTGTATGTCTTTACCGTGGCATGCGAGTAACAGCTGGCATTGGTACGAAGTAATACGTATATAGCAGTCGTGCCCCGTCAAACGTTGAACATTCTTTGTGCACCGAGAAGCGATTCGAATAGATCTCTTTTCTCTCCTGACTCTTCTTCCTTCCTTCTTGTCATTCTTCTTCCCTCCCACCCCACTCTTTCTCTCTCTTTTCTGTCCTCTTTATTTCTTTACACTTCTCCCTTCGTATTGCTTCTTCTTCTTCTTCTTTTTTTTTTTGTCATTCTATACTTGAGAGTGTGTCTCACACACTCGAAAATCCTTTTTCGTCGATCTATAATCGCAACACATGCCGGGACCGCAACATTAGAAAGTTAACTTTTTTGCTTGTTAGAAGCTCTCATTGAAATTACAGTCCCTTTAAGACATTCGTTAGTGAGAAAAAGAGCCGATCCACCATTCGTGGTCGAAGCAAATGCAGGGTTGCCGCAAAAATTTAATTTTGTTTTCCTAACTGTTCCCTGATTTCGGAGAATAAATTTTGACTTTCTTCCTCCTACAGAATATTCTGATTCACTTCTTTTTTTCAATAAATATTTAATCCTTGTTATTTTATCATATGAATTGCGATTTTCAAAAATTTCGTATTCAAACCGTTTGTATATGGTATGGTAACTTTTACTATACTTTCAGAGTAAATTTTATTACGTTCAAAGTACATATTTGTAAAAATTAGTAAACTTTACTTCGAATTCGCAGCAAAATTTACTCCAAAAGTAGTCAAAATTACCAGAAATTACCATCATTTCGATTCTTCATTACTAGAATTTTCAAACTCGAATTCTTTTTTAAATCAATTTTTTTTAAGTAATTCTTGAAAAAGTTCTTTCAGTGTTTTGAAATTCTTTTGTTTACAATTTAATTTTAGAAAATTTGGATTATTCTAACATTCATTAATTAAATGGATTAGAAATTAAAAACTTGAAATAAGTAAAAGAAAATTCCACTAAAATTTTTGAAAAAAAATAATTCTACAGAATTCTTAATTAAAAGTATGAAAAGTTCAAATTTTCAAAAACTTTAATTTGAAACTTTTCGAAAAATCAATTATTTCTAAAAATCCACGCCTTTAATATTCAATTATAAATTTTAATTGAAATACATTTTTAAATCAATATTTATTAGAAAATTCTATGAGAATTCAATTATTTAAATACAAAAATAAATTATTTTTTGATTAATTGAATCTCTCTTAAAATTCAATTCCCGTAAAGAATTTTAACAACAAATTTTTAAATAATTGAATTCTTTCGATGGATTTAAATAAAATTTTTAAAAAATAATTACATTTTTCGAGAAATTTGATTTAAATTGTATTAAAAAAATAATTGAAATTCTACCAAGAATATTATTAAAATTTTTGAAAATAATTAAATTCTTGAGACGAATTTTATTAAAATTTCTTTTTTAATAATTGAATTCTTTTGTAAAATTTTATTAAAATAGTAGACATTGAAAATAATTGAATTTTGACAAATTTTTGAAATTAATTAAATTTCTATAAAGAATTTTGTTAAAATTATTTTGAAAAAAATATTGAATTGTTACAAAGAATTTCGTTAAAATTTTTGAAAATAATTTAATTAAATTGAGGAAAACTTTAGAAAATAATTGAATTTTGTGATAAGAATTTTTGAAAATTATTATTCAATTCAATTATTCAATTATTTTTGAAAATAATTAAATTTTGTGATATGAATTTTATTATTTTAAAAAAAAATTGAATTTTGTAATAAGAATTTTTGAAAATTATTCAATTCAATTATTATTCATTCAATTATTATTTAATTATTTTTGAAAATAATTGAATTTTGTGATACAAATTTTAATATTTTTGAAAATAATTGAATTTTGTGATAAGAATTTTTGAAAATTATTTTTCAATTCAATTATTATTCATTCAATTATTATTCAATTATTTTTGAAAATAATTGAATTTTGTGATAAAAATTTTAATATTTTTGAAAATAATTGAATTTTGTGATAAGAATTTTTGAAAATTATTATTCAATTCAATTATTATTCATTCAATTATTATTCAATTATTTTTGAAAATAATTGAATTTTGTGATAAAAATTTTAATATTTTTGAAAATAA